CTGTTCAAGAGTTGGTACTTAAGACACTCTCCTGATCAATGTAAATCACTACTTTCAATCCTTTACATGGAAGCCTTTCCATATCCTAGGAACATTAAATTAATTACATAAGAATTTTCTATCTGCCTTGTACTTGGTTTGGTCATTATTTATACTGATTGGGAGCCAATCAGTTTTACCTTTTGGGTTACCTATACATGAATGCAAATTTAATTATACGATTGGGAGCCAATCAGTTTTACCTTTTGGGTTACCTATACATGAATGCAAATTTAATTATACGATTGGGAGCCAATCAGTTTAACTATACATGATCCCAATTAAACCTCTCTACAAGATATAATGGCTTGAAGCCTTGAACAGAAGCAACCTCACTCACAAGTTGGAAGCTGGAATTTTGGTGAAGTCCCTTTGCCATTTTCACGAAAAAACAAACCAAACCAAACCAAATATAGCAAGCATTCACAATACCAAAAACCAAATATAGCAAGCATTCACAATACCAAAAACCAAATATACAAAGCATTCACCAAACCAAAAACCAAATATAAAAACCATTCACCAAACCAAACCAAAAACCAAATATAAAAAGCATTCACCAAACCAAAAACCAAATATAAAAACCAAAAATAATAAGCATTCACCGAACCAAATAAAAAACGGTTGTCCATCATCCTGAGGAAAAAAAAACATAACTGTTGTCCATCATCTTGAAAACTAAAACGGAAAATCAGGTTGTTCTTGGGCTCGTTGACTGGGTTTCCTTGTGCTCTTCTCTTTCCTTTTTCCTCTTTTCATGGGTTTTCTTGTACTCTTCCACTGCAGCTTCAACTTGAGGTGCAACTCTTCTTGCTTCCGTGAGCACCATATGCCTTATGTAGTTCATGGGCTCTCGAACAAGGTACAAAGCGATCTGCATCCTCCTCACTTGAGTGCATGGCTATCAACATCAACAAACATGGTGCTTACCGCATGATTCAAAAATAACAATCAATTGTGGTTTTCTGATATGCGAATTAGAATTGTCTTTACCCAAATATAAGAGGAGTCCCAGCTTGCGCCATACATCCACATCCATACCCAGACTCCACTGTCAGACCTACATAAAATAAAAGCATTGCGTGATAAGAACCAAGTTGATAAGTCGTCGTATAATATCACAAAAAAATGGGCATACTTACCGATGAAGTTGTTCTTGATCCTTTGAAGGAGTTGGGTACGAAAACTCCGCAATCCTTGGTGGCGACAATCCCGGACCTTGTTCACGATAGAGAATCTTCCACAAGGCTTGCATAAAGCTCATCTGTACAAATTAAGAAACGTTTGTACTTAGAAAGAGTTATTTACATTTTTTTGCGTTATAACGGCACAATGTCACAAATTTACCATTGTTTGAACAGATTGTAGTCGAAAGGAATTGCGGTCTTCATTTGGTTGTGGATCCAAGATATGGACTTCTTCCTTGTCCAACTTGATGACAGCCAAGTACCAATGGGCATTATCTCTCATCGGAACACACGCCTACATATGCGGAAATTGTCAACACGTATTAAAAAAATAAACTGCAAACCATGTAATACTTATTAAGACGAACAGTTTACCTTGTTCACCATATTGGTTCGACTAAGGAATTTTGATTCGTATAGGTCTAATGCCATCTTGGGTGTTATTCCACATGAAATCACTAGTTCCTGCCCATGTGGTAGTTGCACAGTTGAAATTTTGTCAACACAATATGATTCACGTTAAAAAAACATGTGTTGTAATTTTTTTGGTGAGAGGAAATTGTCATTAAGTATAATCGGACCACAACCTGTAGTTCAGCAGGCAGATAGCACACTCCTTTTTCGTCCTTGGAATTTGTCCACAACTCTTCTAGAGTCAAGTGGCAGGCCATCACTGTTATAACCTAATATAACATGGACAAAAAACACTTCATGATACTATCGAGTTGTTATAAAATAATTCTACGTAGAAAGCATTGATAGTGGACAAACAAAACAAAATTTTGGAGTTCCGTTGATTACATCAGCATCTACGAACGAGCGAGGGCTTAAGGACCACAATGACTTCCTCGTACAAGAGTTGTTAGAGGTTTTGACCAATACTTCGTCAGGTGGCAGATGGGCTAAAAATATATAGTGAGCAAGCTGGATTTGCTCATCATCGTATTCCATAGCGGTAGGTAGCTTAAACTTCAAAACAACCTGGAATAGGGGCCACAAATAAACACGAGTTGAAATGCATTCGTTATGACGGAATAACGGCAAAGAACACTTCAATGGCAAACATGACACCTTTATTACCTTGTCAACAAAAGGTAGACAAATACTTTTTCCATTTGGCTTCTTTGGTGTGACCTCAGAGTCAGATTCATCGTCCGAAATAAAAACGATGACTAAAGCAGGAGTGGGTGGACTGCTTACACCTTTGGGTATCCTTGGTTTCTTTCTTGGAGTCACAAATTCGGCTGTCTCCTACAATGACAGTGAACCTGCGATTAATAAATTAACTAGAATGAATTTCAATGGTAAAAAGAGCTATTATACATACCACAAGCTTGGACGAAGAGCGAGTAATTCTCCTATTTTCCATGTTGTGCCTCTAATCTAAGCTTTACTCTATACTCAAAATCGCGGCAAAGAAGGATATGGAACCACTGCTCTACCGATGAAGGTTAATTATATATACAAGGTTAGGATAAATTGTGGCGCCATATTTTTCCCGCGGAAAAATAGTTAGGGTTTACTCTAAGGTACATTAACTTGGGATAAACATGGGTAGTTATTAAACCTAAAATTAAAAATATACTTTTTTCGATTGAATAAAGAATTGAGTGCTATTTGTAAATATTCGCTCATATTAATATTTGATCCTTCCCCATACACGTAGTACACAGCTAGAGTCAGCTGACGTTTGCCTTTACTAAGAAAGGTTTTTCATTTTAAATATTTTCGTTATTTGTGAAAATGGTAAAGAAATCACTACGATAAAGAACAGAAAGTTCAACTCGTTCCTACCAAAAATATAAGATATCACAAATCGTGTTATTAATGGGGATAATTATTAAGTGGCCCATTGAATCATTAATTCGGCCATCATTCCCAGTAGGGTTTTGTAATCTACGTCCTTGGTTCCCCAAAATTTCCAGCCGTGACAATGACGTCGGAGGCAGACTCACCATTGACGTCGGAGGGAGTCCTAGTATTGACGTCGGAGGGAGTCCAAGAAAACGCTGGTGCAGGAACCAGTCACACCACCCAGGAAGATAATGTCGCCGATCTCATATTTCTACAGCCTGAAGATATTAAAAAAATGAAGTTCGATGATACAGAAGAAGCCTATGATTTCTACATGGACTACGGGTTAGTGAAAGGCTTCGACATCAGAAAATCAGACATTGGTCATGATAAGAACAAAGTTATGATATGGCGTGACTATGTATGCTCTGGCAAGGGAAAGAGGCGCATGAAGAGCACAGAACGAAAGAGAGAAGCAAGAGGGGAGACCAGATTTAACTGCAGAGCCAAGATGCGTGTTAAACAACACAATGTCGATGGGAAGTGGTATGTGCACCAGTTTGATGATGTACACACACATGAAACGATCCCCAGAGAATATAGACACTACATGAAAGGGAAACGTCGTATGAGTGATGCAGTCAAAGCAGCGATAAATTTTACAAGAGCTGCAGGTATGAAAACTTCTCAAACTGTGAATCTGGCCGTATCAGAAGCAGGAGGCTACGACAATTTGGGGTACACGAGGAAGGATGCATATAATTATGCGGACAAAGAGAGGAAAGAACAAATCAGTGAAGGTGATGCCGCAACAGCCCTAGCCTACCTGCAAGCTAAATGCAGCGCGGACGAGCATTTCGTTATTGAACTAAAGAAGGATGACGACGACCGGCTTATTAACATTTTCTGGGCCGATAGTATTTCTGTTGCTGATTATGCATGCTTTGGAGAATTACTGTCATTCGATGCTACTTACAAAAGGAACATTTACCAGATGCCTCTCGTGATTTTTTCAGGTACTTTTCCTTCACACATAGAATTATCCCGAGCATGCTAAAATAACCCTAGAAGTTTGCATAATCTAACTTTGTTTGAACTTTTTTAGGTGTCAACCACCATTCGCAAACTTGCGTATTTGCATGTGCTTTCTTGGCTAACGAGAGAGAGGACAATTATATTTGGGTGTTGGGAGCTTTGAAGAGAAGGCTAGGCGGTGTAGATCCCAAGACTGTTATTACAGATGGGGATAGAGCAATGCGTAATGCTATTCAGAAAGTATTTCCCGATGCAACACATCGTCTATGTTCCTGGCATATAGACAAGACTATAACCAGAAATGTGAAGAATCATCCTACTTTTTTGCCCCGATGGAAGCATTTTGTGTCAGCTGACTGGGAACCTTCAGAATTCGAAGAAAAGTGGAAATCAGTGGTTGAGGAATGCTCCCTTCAGCACAACAATTGGGTCTCCAATTTATTTGACCAAAGACATGAATGGGGGTATGCATATTTGCGTTCGAAGTTCTTCGCAGGCTTGAGTACAACATCAAGATGTGAAGGACTGAAATCTCAACTTGCCAATTATATCGAGAAGGATAAAAATCTCCTTGAGTTCTTTATTCACTTTGATCGTTGGACTAGGGATATGAGGGAGAATGAGCGTCATGCTGATTTTGAATCCATTCATCGAGAACGAACCATCACAAGCAATGTCTTAGTCTCACTTCAGAAGAGTGGAGCGGCGGTTTTCACAAAGAACGCATTCTTCTTATTCAGAGACGAGGTTGAAAAGTCGGCATGTTGCATAAGGTTGGAGACAGAGCGATCGGAAATTGAGCATGTGTACAAGGTCAAGGTGTCTGGCAGCGATAAGGTTTTTCAAGTCACGTACGCAGTTGAACCCTTTGCAATGGAATGTAGTTGTAATCACTACAATTATATGGGAATACCATGTCGTCATATGATTTTTGTACTGAAAGAAGAGAGCATACTGGAACTTCCTGAAGGCCTAGTACGTCGAAGATGGTCAAAGAAGCCGAAGACACTAGAGAGCTTGGAGGAACCGGGCAGACTCGATGAATCGCAACTTTTCGCATTGAGGTTTGCCATGACTATCACTTTTAATTTTTTTTTTTTAATATTGGTTCGAAGCTAGGTGAACATTAATTTTACTCACTTTGTATAAAATCTTGTGTCAATCAGATATGGTACTATTCAACAACACAGCTTACAACTAATGTTAAAAGGGGCAAAATCTAGTGAGTGCTTCAAGATTGCTCGTGAGGGCATTCAATCATTATGTGAAAAGTTGGACATGGTGGACACTGGCAACGTGGACATACCCGGCATTAATAGACCGAAGGCGAATGAAATTTTGTTGGATCCATTACAAGTCAAAGCTAAAGGTTCGGGGGCTAAAAAATCTAAAAGGAAGAAAGGAGAACCACGACAGTGTAGCAATTGCGGTGAATGGCGCCACTATAGGACCCGATGCCCACATCCTGTTGGCTATGTGAAGCCAACCTCAAACGGTGATGCCCCGAATGATGGTGTTTCGGAAGAAGGTGGCGGTGGCGATGACACCGATGTTGATCCTCCCACCACTCAAGATCAGTCGGAAACAGTACAGAAGAGAAGGCAAAAGCATTGCAGTAAGTGTGGTTCTACCAATCATAATGCAAGAACGTGTACTGGGTCTGGGCCATCCGATGATGAAAATGACGATGACGACGATTATGAGCAACCTAGGGTAAGAATAAGATATAATTGTTCGTGTCTACACAATGCAGTTGCATCCAATATTTTTGTACGTCTAAAATCGTCGTTATCGATTTTGCGGAAGAGGCCTGTTACAAGAAGTAGCAAACTAAGGATTGTTGAAAACTTGAAGTGAAGATGGACGTCCTTATCCTATTCGGATTAGGACCAATGGACTATGTGAAGACTACCAGTATCAGCTTGAAGCGGCGTCGTTTGATTTATAAGAAGACTGTTGCCGTCTGCGGTGTCGTTTTACTTGTGTGTCGTTTTGTTTATGTGTCTCTTTTGTTTATAAGAAGACTACTGCCTTCTACGGTGTCATTTTATTTAGTTCGGATGGATTTGATTGAATTCGATATGGAGGTTGCTCCCTAAATAAATCATGTGCAACATTTCAGTTGAATTATTTTTCTCACTCGTTTTTTTTTTATTGAATTATTAGATCGGATTTTTTACTTGTTTTTAAAATTACTTAATTTTGGCTACTAAAATTATGAAATGTAATTTGGGCGTGAAATGACAAGAGCATGCGCCGACAGAGGACTTCTGAAAATGGTGGCAGTAATCAAGAAATAAACTACAGTATTTTTATTGAGTGAAAGATCCCTCACCAATATATTATTAAGATCTCAAACACTAAAAGTACAAATCTTGAAAAAGAAAACAATGTACTTTCCCTCCTCCAACTTTTATACTATACATATGGCAACTTTCCCCTCTTGTATATATTTTGGGAGCATGATCAACAAGTACGCGTAAATGTAGCCCAGAAGAACCATCATATGATGTAGGGTTCCACAACACCTATTATGGAATCGTAACAACATATGATGATTCTTTGGGCTATATTCAGATGGCGACTTATTGTCATTGCTCCTCTCCCTGCCTCTAACAAAGACCCTGCATGGAGAGCAAAGGAGAAACAATACAACGAAGGATTTAGTTTAACAGTCATGATCTAACAATGACATAATGAAAGGAACTGAGATCTAAAATAATACGCAGTCTCATCATTACCACTGCACCCGAAAATAAAGCATGGACAGGAGGACGAAGAGGCGGATGGGGTTGATTTTCGGGGTTGAGAAGATGGGAGAAAGGGGTCTTTTCAGGGATTGAGAGGAGGAACGGACAACAGCAGGAGATGAGTGCCTCTTGGGTTTCGGAGCATGGTCTCTCCCTCTCTGATTAAAGAATTTATAAATGAGCTCATAAATTTACTTTGCCTTTCCAGCCCTTCCCATTTACTGAAAATCACACTCCCTACCGCTGCCTCGGCCTTGGTACGTCAGCACTGGTTAGGGGCAAATGCGACTTTCCAAAAACGGCGATATCTGATTGGGTGACACGCCGCGGTTAGGATTGAAGCTCTTTCACCATCGGATTAAACGAAAATTTAGGAATTGACCACAGGAGATGGGGATGTGCTTTTAGACTGGCTTTGTAGATTAACTAACTTATTCGTTTACCAAAATTAATCTACAGATTTGGTACATGTAATTATAACCGTAAACCCTAAACCCTAAACCCGAACCAATCAATACCATATACTCTACAACAATAACACCTTAGAGCATCTCCATCCCATTGCTAAACCAACTTTTAGCAATTGGCAAAGTCTAGGTGGCAACTCAATTGGCAATTGCAAGGGATGGAGAGGCAATTGCTTATTTAGAAATTACAAACAAAACTTAGGGATGTAGGCGGTTTGCAATTCTTTTAACTGAAATTGCTAAATATGATGATGTGGCTGTAGGGACCACGTTTAGAAATTGCTAGGGATGGAGATGGTCTTACCCGAACCAATCCATCCCATTGCTTATTTAGTGGAATCCTAGGTGGCACCATCATTTAGCAAGATTGCAATGCCACCTAGGATATTTTTTATAAACTAGCAAGATTTCTAAATTAGGAATTCTTCTTGCAATGCCAAACCCTAATGCACGAACCAATCAATAACATATACTCTACAATAATAACACCTTATAGGCTTATACCCTAACCAATCAATACCATATATACTCTAAACCATCAACACCTTGCTTATTTAGACCATCTCCAATGGTGCAATTCTTGAGAATTGCAAGCTGATGGTGCAAGGGAGTGAAAGTGGGATGGTGAGTTGCATTGATGTGGGATCAATTACAAAAGTTGCAAATTTGCATCTGATGAATGTTTTCATGCAGTTGCAAATTTTCATGCAGCACACACATATATACAATTCCAATCATAATACTTTACATAATTCGAATAACACAACGAAAAAAAACAACTTGAGAGAAAACTCAAATTAATATAACACACTCACCAATTAATATTGAATTGCATTGAAAATTAAGTAGGACCCACAGTCACAATTGATGTATAGTTAAAGTTGTTGAAGTGGCAATTGGGACCATATATTTGCTCGTTGTTGGAAACTTGAACTGAAACTGGAAGTCCTCCTATGCCGAGTCGTTTGGTATATAAGAAGACTGTTGGCTCTTCCGGTGTCGTTTAATTTATGCACTCATTAATGGTCAGTTGAAGGCAATTTTTAAGCACTCTAAATAAATCATGTGCAACATTTCAGTTGAATAATCTTGAGAACTAGTTTTTTTTATTCAATTATTACATCGTATTTTTTGCACTAATTTTGAGCACTCATTAAATGGGTAGAGCATGTGGCGACAGAGGAGCAGAGTTCGAAATCCGGCAAAAAATCCGGTTGGCCCAATCGTAACGACTTCTAAAAATGGAGTCAGTAGTCAATAAATAAAGTACAGTATTTTTATTGGGAATGTAGGATCCCCTGCATATTTTAGAAGATCTCAAACGCTAATAGTACAAAGTACAGTATTTTTATTGGAAGTGTAGGATCCCCTGCAGATTTAGTAGATCTCAAACGCTTAATAGTACAAAGTACAGTATTTTTATTGGGAGTGGAGGATCCCTCGCAGATTTAGAAGATCTCAAACACTTTTGGAAGCCACCATGGAAGCGAAGAGAGAAGCAGAAGAAAAAATAACAAAACAGTATACAAATATAAACAAATGTTACATATAGTCCAACAAAAACAAAAAGCTGTACTTTCCCTCCCTATTTTATCCTATTATACATATGGCAACTTTCCTATCTTGTATACATTTTGGGAGTATGATCAACAAGTACGCGTCAATATCGCGCAGAAGAATCACCACATGTAGTAGGGTTCCACAACACCTATTATGGAATCGCAACAACATGTGATGATTCTTCCGGCGATATTCAGACGGCGACTTATTGTCATTGCTCCCCTCCCTGCCTCTAACAAAGACCCTGCATGGAGAGAAAAGGAGAAACAATACAACGAAGGATTTAGTTTAACAGTCATGATCTAACAATGACATAATGAAAGGAACTGAGATCTAAAATAATACGCAGTCTCATCATTACCACTGCACCCGAAAATAAAGCATGGGATAGGAGGACGAAGAGGTGGATGGGGTTGATTTTCGGAGTTTCATATTGAGAAGATGGAAGAAAGGGTTCTTTTCAGGGATTGAGAGGAGGAGGAACGAACAGCAGGAGGAGATGAGTGCCACTCGGGTTTCGGAGCACGGTCTCTCCTTCACTGATTAACGAATTTATAGATTGACTCGTAATTACTTTTACTTACCCTCCCTTCACATTTACTGAAAATTACACTCCCTACCACTGCCTCGGCCTTGGTAACGCCAGCATTGGTTATGGGCAAAAGCGAGTTTCCGAATTCGGCAATATCTGATTGGGTGACACGCACGCGACAAGGATCGAAGGTATTTCACCATCGGATTAAGGGAAAAGTTTAGGAATTGACGGTGGGAAATGGGGATGTACTTTTATAAATAGTCTGAATTTGTAGATTAACTAACTTTTTCGTTTACCAACATTACTCTATTGATCTGGTTTATGTTATTCTAACTTGATTCATAACCCTAAACCCTAAACCCTAAACCAAACCCTAATACACGAACCAATCAATACCATATACTCTACAACAATAACAACACCTTATAGGCTTATACCGTAACCAATCAATAACATATATACTTTAAACCATCAACACCTTGCTCCTCCCTTATACCATAACCTTCAAGACCTTATACTGTATACCAACAACACCTTCTTCTATCTCCATCCCCAACTTTCAATTTATAATAAGTGTTTCCTTTGAAATATAAAATGGAACCCACCTTGGCAATTGCTAGCATAATGTAGGGATGTAGATGAATAGAAATTGTTAAGTGATGAATTGCTAAAATTGATGATGTGGCGGTAGGGACCTCGTTTAGAAATTGTTGTTCAATTTTAGGGATGAAGATGATCAATACACTAACCCAATACCATATACTCTAAACCATCAACACCTTATACAATATCGTATTTTAGGGATGGAGATGATCAATACACTAACCCAATACCATGTACTCTAAACCATCAACACCTTATACAATATCGTATACCTATACGCTGATAAATTAAAATTATAACTTGCTTTTCAAAAACCTCTACTTTATTGACTAAGCAAATAACAGACAATTAACCAATTAAGCTACA